TTGGTTGACGAATCAAATCACAAATAAAAGTTATCTTTTATTTGGTTGACTAGGGATGTGCCGGGTATCCGGGATCCGGCATATCCGGCCGTTTTTCTGTTATCACTCATTATGAAAAGTAGCATTATGTTATTTTTCATTATGAAAAGAAGCACTTCCGCATTACCGGTCAAGAACCCATTTCTATTTTCAACATAAATGCTACCCGATGCACGAATCACTCTTTTTGAGTTCACTGAGGAAGGTGGTTCGCAGAGATACTTCATTGTCAGTGTAAACAAATTTGGAATTTCTTTGCGACAATAATAATAACATATTGGTGCTTACACATTTGTTAGTGTTTGAGTGGGCTTCTCCTCCGATTTGTGGCTTTCGCATTGATGTTGTCACACAAGGGGAGGGACCTACAGTTTTACGTCGACTCCAAACGGCGATTGTGTTTTTATGAGATGCTGTTTTCATGGCAGAAATAAACTCGGAGGTTTGCCATTGCATGCCGAGAGGCGACCGAAATTAGAAAAACTTTTTTTTTATGCTGGGTTGAACCGGGCTTGAACCCAGGCTAACCGATAGACCACAGTGGCCGTCTATGATTCCACCAAATGAAAGGATCTTCTTGTCTGCGTATAAGGGGTATCTGTAAATATTTCTCCATTTATCCATCGTTTGGCTATCCACATCACTACTGGAATCAGTATCAGAGCTGTTGGCGATTTCCTCAAAGCATTGTCAAATATCCTGGTCTCGCTCTTCATAGAATCTTTCACAAGAATTACGCCTGTTTCATACGATTCAGCAGGTTTCTCCATGTTAACTGATTTATGGTCGTTATTATGAGTTGCATTCGATTTTCGATCGCTGGTTATCGAAGATCGAAAATCGAATGTGAAATTCGTATTATGAGCTATGCAACCGTGTCGAAATTTTTGTTGAGTATCGAATTTTCTGTCGAACAGAATTTTACTTTCGGCTAGACACCAATTTTTGTTAAAATCATGCAGGTCTAACGTCGTGAATACTAAACACAATCTCGAAAGGCTGGTTGCACTCATGAAAGAAAATCCCAATACTCATTCGGCACGATTTCTGAGAACAAAATCGTAGAGCTGTTGATAGTCTTAAAATATTTTAAATAGATTTGGCTATAGAGGATTGCTGCAGCAGGTTTTGCATAGCGGACTGCAAACGCCTCTTTAGACAGTCGGAAGTT